TACCTGAAGGGCAGTAAAACTGCCACATTTGTTTTCTTTGCTTGTTTCATACATATATGGTGTTTGGTCAAAATCATTACGCAGTATTAAATATCCATCACTGATATCACCACTGCAAAAATGCATCTGAATATTTTAATCTAAGAAATATTTTAGGATCAGTGATGTAATGTCTTTTTTCTAACCCACTCACCCAGCCCTTTTAGTCACACCTTTCAGTCATTACATTTATAATTGTGTGTAACGTCTTCAAGATGTCTTCAAGAATAATGGAAACACTGAACAGCTTCCTATTCGCATGGGGGGAAAAAAAGAGAGTCCCAGTTCTTGTTGAGAGACGTCAGTGGCATCTCTGTGGACTCTTTGCCACGTCTGGCCTCTGTCACCGCAGAAACTTGGAGGACTCTGTTCAAAGGCAAGCTCTCACTGGGGGAGACAGTGGCATTGCCATGTCAAAATCACCAGACAGCTGAGAAAAGGTCAAAATGCAGGAAAGATCCAAAGTGCCGGTGATGAAGAGGACATAAAGGATGTGGTTTAGGATGTGAAGCTAGAGATGAGTTGGCTGTGATAAAATTTGGACCAGGACTGTGTTTGAAGCTGTGCATGGAGCAGGGAAGAGGACTCAGTCTTAGATGAAAAAGATACTTTTAAGAAAGACTGAATCAGATAAGTATATACTCAGAGGAGCAGCTTAAAACCAATTTTATATTCAGTGGAGCCAAGAAAAGTTTCTTTTACTTGCTTTGTTTTTAGTTATCTGTTTAAAGCAGTTTAAGGTTGAAATAATGGATATACTGAAGGACATTAAAAGGTGCACAGTTGGGCTTCAACTTTATTTGCTGACAGATGTACTTATTGGACCTGAATGTAAAATGAACAGATCCTACCTTAGCACACTCAGTCTGAGAGGACAAAACCCGATATAATGGCAACGCATGTAATAGACACACCGGTCTACTGTTTGGATTCCTATTACATGCTTTGCTATTATACCAGGTTGGAGGCCACACCTTGTTTTATGTGGATCTTGTAGTCTACTTATGCCAAACACAGGTGGCAGAATCTTTCTCTCTGCCATTTTTGCACGATTATTGAGAATTTTCAGCCAGTGAGTGCTAACTCACTGCATACCAGGGATATAGCTTACAGGTGGCAGAAATACTTCACCCACTTCTAAAAACAAGATAAAAAAACAAATGTTCGCACAAGTGTTACTTCCTCTTAACAATCTTCTAGTTCATTCAGGCTGTATAAATCTCCATCATCATCACAAATATAATAATAATAATAATGTTATAGTATTGCACATGTCACCTCTGCAAATATCCAAGGTACTGCTGTGTTACTGCTTAATTATGATCGTTTCCAGGACATGAACTCTGAGAAAAACTGAGATTCTTTGCTGCAATAATCCAGACAACTTGTATCAATACTAGAGATGGCACGATACCACTTGTCCGATACCGATACCAATATCATAAATTTGGATATCTGCCGATACCGATATGAATCTGATATAGTGTGTTTTTTAATCAATAAAACGTTTTTTTAATATATTGGTGCATTTTGTATAAGTTTATACTCAAGTTTAAATAAATAACAACACTAAAGCTATTCTGTTATACCTGTATG